TATATATATATATAAAGAGAGAGAGAGAGAGAGAGAGAGAGAGAGAGAGAGAGAGAGATTGTTATTTTAATGTGTCACGTAAATAAATGTGACATTGACAGCATTTTAAAATAACAGAGGCTGACCAAAGTGCTGTACTGTTTAGTCAAAGACTAAAATAAAATAAAGAAACACTATTAAAAAAAAAACATCAGCTCTAAGTGAACCTCAAACTCTGTCTTAATCAAAAGCCAAAGAAAATCCAAGTAGCTGTTAACTCATCAGTCAGGGCAGATCCAACTGTATTTCTTCAAACCTACGTTATTTAAAGAGCAATCAAGAACAGGTAAGATATTTTTTGTTTGTAACCTTTCGATAGGACCTCACTTTTTAACTCTCCATTAATATTTTAGAGTCCACTTCATGCCTCAACCTCTCCGATGGCTGTAATTGCAGGGTTCTTACAGACTAGACCTATGCTGCAGTTATTGTTCGGCTGGGTTTGCACATGCTCAGGTTTGGAGTTGCTTTTTGTTTCTCTCCTTCCTGTCAGAGCTGACACCATTCTGGTGCGGTAGTGATCCCCGGCCAGGAAATACAGAACGGGATCAATGCAGCTGTTGACGCTCGCCAGCGGCCTCGTGATTTTGTAGGTGAAGTTCACGATGTTGAGGAATTCACAGTTCAGGTCCAGCACGCGGGCGGTGTAGTACAGAGTCCTGGTGATGTGGAACGGGACGAAGCTGACGGCAAACACCACCAGCACCACCACGATGAGCTTGATGGACTTGCGGCGTGAGCTGACGCCCTGCTGGCTGGCGTTTAAGCCCCATCTGGGCCGGCACAAAGCCCGCGCCATCAGRCAGTAGCACACCAAAATGACGATGAACGGGATCCCAAAGAGCAGCACCATGACCACAGAACTGTAATCCACGTACTCGTGGAAGGACTCCTGGTTCGTGGTGTCGTGGCACAGAGTGTCATTGTCTCTCCTGGAGGTGGTGACGAAGATGAGGTTGGGCACCAGGCACACGGTCACGGCGCACCACACCAAACCGCACACCAGGTGGGCGTGACGCGACTTCAACAGGGTCAGCGCCTTGATGGGGTGGCAGATGCCGAAGTACCGATGCACGCTAATGCAGGTGAGGAAGAGGATGCTGCAGTAGAGGTTGGCGTAGAAGAGGAAGCGCACGATCTTGCAGGCGGCCACGCCGAACGGCCAGTGGCTGCGGTTGGCGTAGTAGTAGATGAGCGTGGGCAGGGAGAGAACGTACAGGAAGTCTGACAGAGCCAGGTGGAACATGAACACCAAGCTGGGGTTCCAYGGCCGCATCTTCAGGAACACCCACAAGGCCACGGCGTTGAGCACGAAGCCGAACACAAAGACCAGGCTGTAGGACACGGGCAGCAGGATGTACTTGAACTCCTCATCAAAGCGACAGCTGACATTGAAGATCGAGGTGAAAACTTGGGATTGGTTGAGTGGACTGGAGCTGTTGGTCACCAAATCCATGTGGGGCGTCTGAAGGAGGCGTTCCATCCAAGAAACCTAAACAAGAAAAGAGACAAAAGTGATGTCTAACAGCAAATAAGATATAAAAATACAGTAGATGGTTGAAACATTCTACATCCCGGTGAGCAAAAACCTCAATAAAAACCTCAATATTATCAAGTCAATTTCTGTTCAGTCAAACATTTTACTCAAACAGTTCAAAATTCATAAAAATCTCAGTCTTAAGCTTGTTAATTTGGATAAAATCACTGAAATCTTTAACCCAAACTTGAGCACTACGTGACTACAAAGAATCATTTCAACTTTCAATTTCAAGTTTTTCACTTTTCTGTCAAAAAATATRCAATTAAATCACCAAAAAGTCAAAAAGACTAAATTATTTGCTTCAGTTGTGAGTAAAAAGACACATACTTCTTGTGAACATAAATCCATATTTTTTTCAAATCTATGTTTTAGTTTCAGTTATTTGATATAAAGTAGAGAATCCAATTTGAAGTATTTCACAGAAAAATCGTCCTAACCAGTAGGTTCTGGACCAATAAGTTATTTAATCTTATCAAACCTGGTGAAATCTCAACAAAGTGAGAATGTTTGATTGATCAGACGTGTACGTTACAGTTTAGATATGTATGAATATATCTGTTGTTTAGACGTTGCTTTATGCTCACTGGTTTCTATTCTTGCTAAGATAAGCGTTCACCTGATCCTCAACCCTTTGTTGTTATAATTTTTGTCCTATAATACATTAAATGTTTCATAAGTAAAACATTTGGACAGCAGCCCGACTGCTTCAGCTGCTGCAGTCTTTAAAAGGATGTAATTTAGGCCTCCTATGGAATTGAGTCATCTGGACGCCTGTTCAGAAACATCTGTATTCACTCAGCAGTAATGACGTGTTCACGGTGCCATAAATATACCCCGATACCATCAATTATACTTGCTTTTGGATTAAGTTGTGTTTTGATAACAACTTTCCTTCTCGTCTWTATACAAAGTGGATACACAGCGGACAAGAGACACAAATTCTTATTTATCCCCTACTGCACCATAAACTGCAGTACACTGMAGAAAAGTTGCCCAAATAAGTCTCTAAAAAAGCTAAATCTAGTTTAAAAAAACACAATAAAATKCAGTGAAATTTGGTTCATAGTGAAGCCTAAAATATTTATATKATTGTAAAGTAGCTGCTCTGAATTCCAATTAAACCTTCGCTGTGGAACATTCCAAAACACAAAGCTTTCTGGGTTATTAACATTCTGTTTGTCTAACTGAAAGATGGGATAATGCACCTTTATAATAAAACATGTGGATCATATTTTATTCAACATAGAAAATTTGAAAAGAAAACATGAAACACATTGGCTGAAAAAGGAAATGATTGTATAACATTTCCAACTCTATTTAATGTTAACGTTTTACAGTCTAAACACCATTTTCAGCATATTTTGGAAGTCAGATTTATTTATAAAGACACTWTAGGAGAAATCATAAACTCTGAACGCTGATTAAAAAAAACCAAAATCAAAATAAAACTCAATTATAAAGCATGCACAGCCACAAATATATAAAAGTTAACTCAGCATTGATAAAACAGTATTAAAACAGTAACAATCCACATGAAGTCTAAGTGACAAAACTCGTTTTGTTTGTAACAGTATTAATATTTACTTTTAACTGTTTTAGCTCTGTTTTGTTTAAATTTATAACAGAAGTAAAAAAAAAATGTCACCAAAAGAAAGAACATGTGTTCTATCGCTGGTTATTGTTGGTTAATGTGGTTTTTAATTTGACCTGAACTTTTAAACACACATCTGTTTTTCTCAGTGAGCTCGTGCACACAGCATTCTAACAACTACTCACCAAAACAGATCCAAGTACATTAAAAAAACTCCTCTTGTCTCACTTTTCAATTTTCATCTCAGCCCGTGGTGTTTTATCGCCTCTCAGGTCTAAAAGTTCAACTTTATGTTTGTTTTTACAAACTATTGCTCCTAGAAAGTCGCGGCGGAGTCCATTCCTGCGCTGCCAGTCAGTAACTGAGCGCACGGAGCGCAGCAGGCAGGAGGAGCGTGTGCGTGTGTGTGTGTGCGTGTTTGTGTGTGTGTGTGAGAAGGAAACGGGAAGTTTCACAACGTGAAGACCGCCCAAAAACTCAGTGTGCCACTTTCACACTGAAGTCCAGAGCTGCTGAACCCTCCTACCAGAGTTTTATTCACTTTTCTTTAAAGTGATGTCACTTCCGGTCAGGTGGAAGAGCGCGTCGAGCGCAACTAAACGAATCCGCCTATACAGTATGTCAGAGCTGCAGTAGCCTGTTGTGCAAAAGTCTTAAGTCACCTACAATTTCTTCTTTTTTTCATGTAAAACGTTTAATGTGATCCAAAGCATTTCTTCACACTTTTTTTTTCTTTTCTTGGACTTTGAATGATGTTTCATTCTTAACCATTTCTCAGAAAAAAAATACTATTTTTTTCTAAACTGTGAAAAATTCAAGTGATGAACCACTGTGTGGACACATAGCATATATTTTAAGTGGAGTTTTAAATAATTTGTCACATTTAGGCTGTATGTAGTTGGACACATGAGCACATTTGACACCATTAGGGTTAACAAAAAGCTAATAACTGAAAACTGACACACAGAAGATGATCAGCTTTGGTTCTGTTTTAGATTGTTCCTGGATTTTCTAATGTATCCTAAAAACACAACTTTCASATCCTATTTTTATATATAAATTTCTTTGATACTTCTTCTTTTGTTCTGCACTTTTCATTTGTTACAGTATAGGCACTCACCGCACAATGTGTTGCCACTGACACTAGATGAGTGAAAAGGCAGCCAAAATCAAAAGAAAAACTACCAAATATTACGAAAGCCTGAAGAAGTGTTGGTCAACGCCACGTTAAAARAGTGAGAACGTGAAGAAAGTTAGTGGTGTTTAAAACTTTTGCACGGAACGTCACACTCCTTTCTGTATACTTCAGGCAAAGCCATAAAAAGCATTTATCAGTGATTCAGTCTCACATGCAAACACACACTCACTCTCACTCACACACCCACTCAGTCCTGCAGAGATCAGGATCGACATGATCAATGCTTTAAAAATGTGATTAAACATCAATCTCAACTTTAAAACAAAGTTGTAGAAATTGTCTGAGAAATGAAATAACCAAACCGGTCAGAGTCGTCATCTCGTCCTTCTTTTTTCTCATAAATTAGCTCTGACCTTTTTTTATTTATAAGGAAGAGTTGTGTGTGAGAACCTCGTGGCCAAATCACATTCTTTTCATTCTTCCTTTACCGTTAGGAAATAAAAGGAAGRATGTTTTTGACAAGATTTATTGCAATAATGTCTGAGTCTGAAGTCTTTGAACATCTTTTGGTTTCGTCAAACTGCTAATTTTTTCAAATAGAAAAAAAAAACACAAATTGTAACACTGAAACTGCTGATTTCGGATCCATTTAAGAAAACCAGCAGAGCAACTGAGCATCAGCAAAACAGCAGTTATAAGTTGAAACTTGCAAAACGTAGCTAAAACATAATTATCAAAACAGTAGCTAAAAGATAAAATAAAGCAAGCATGAAGTAGATTTTAAAGTGCAATAAATGTTTAAGAATTTAAAAACAGAAAAAAAACATGGCTAGAAAATAAAGTGAATCAGTTGGTTAGCTCTGCTGCCTCAAAGCAAGAAGCCATCAAGTTCTGCCTATGCATTAGTTTTCTTCAAATTCATTAACAGTACAAAAAGCTCATCTGCTGTTTGTCCCTGCGTGGATCTGTGATAAACTGGTGACCTGTCCAGGATGAACACTGCCTCTCACCCAGTGACCTCCGCAGAGGCATCGACACCCTCGTGACCCTAAACAGGCTGCAGATATAAAGAAGTTGGACAGTTTGTTCATAACCAACACAGTGAGAAGTAAGAATAAGTGGTGTGCCACCAAAAGTTCTTGCCACTTAATGTGCAGTTGATAGATGTATTCATGTAACGGGAAGTGTTGATAGTGGGAACCTCGACATGAATCTGATTTTTTTGAGTCTTTACCAAAGACAAAGGAGTTCAGAGTTTGACCAAAGAATTCCCGTTTGTTATCACTTCCTGTCGCACCAGCCACGCCAAGTCCAAAACAAAAATATGCTAGTCGTGTATGCATAAAATAGTGTCAATTATGCCAAATTTCTTTAATATAAAGATGTTTCCTTCCATTTTTGTGTGTTTTATTAAAAAATGCATGTCACAGACACTTTAAAATTTAACTCATCATTAAATCAGCAGTTTTGCAGCTTATGGTACATTAATATGAGTTATTTTTGTATTTTATTTTGATATTAATTTTATTTCTTTTAGTAAAAGATCTAAAAAAAATTATCTGTTGTGTAATGCTTTTCTTAAAAATCCCACAAAGCAAAATTTGTCTGACCCAGTTCTGGGCCCACACAGTGCACCAGCACTAACAGTCAGCCCAGATACTGCAAAGAATGACGGCCCGGCCCAGATGTGGTTTGCCAGAGGTGGTTGGTGCATGGGCCAGCACCACATAAACCAAAATATAACTGGGCCAGCTGTGGCAGGCCATCTTAAAAACAGAGCCATCATTGCCAGACCTGGCCCACACCTGTCTGCTGTGTGGGATGAAACTCATGGAGTTAAAGCAAAGTGCATGGAAAATGTTGTGTACAGTGTTGGCCCAGAAAACTGGATCACATGCACCAACAAATATTTACACTCCAGAGTTGCGTGGTACCGGTGCATCGTCTCAGCAATCACCTCAGAGGTTTCTTAAACATTCACTCGATAAGGCGTGTAGTCATAAAGGCCGCTCGTAAAGAAATAAAACCAAAAAGCAGGCAGGAAGTGCAGTGCCTTTGCTGACAGCCATTAAACTGAAATGAGATGTGATTTTACTTAATGAGTAACCAAACACTGAAGCTTGGGTGACCCAGTCTCAACTCATACRAGCTGTTTACTCTGAACTGAATAGGTTTGAATTACGTACTCACGATCTTCACAGAGCAAAGAATAGGATTCAGTTCTTATGAAAACAGCAAGTCTSTGTGTAAACATCACTTTATGGTCTTTACCAGGTCCCTGTTCTGACAAAATTTAGAACAGGGCACAAAAATATCAAGCTGATATCTCTAAAGTGAAATATGTGTTTTTGTTTGCTGGTTTGGTTGGTTGGTTGGTTGGTTGGTTGGTTGGTTGGTTGGTTGGTTGGTTGGTTGGTTGGTTGGTTG